CCCATCCCAGCCGGCGCTGCCCTAGTCCGGGGGCCGGGCCGGCCTGGCCTCGTCCGTCGCCACGGCGCGACGGCCCCGACGCCGACCGGGCTGGGGTAGAGTGAGGAGGGGTTGGTTGAGATGGGGTTGGTTGAGGTGGGGTGAGGTGAGGGAGGGACGACCGTTTGCGACGCCGTTTTGCTCGGCATGCGGCTGTCCTAAGCGTTCCCCGACCCGGCATTCCCCGCCGCTGCGCCGCCACCTGCCGTCTCTATTTCTCTCTATTTCCCTTTCATTTCTGCGCCTATCCCTCCTCTGCCCCCCCCCCCCCCCCCCCCCCCCCCCCCCCCTCTCCTCCCGCCTCCCCCCCCCCCCCCCCCCCCCCCCCGTCCCCTCAAGTTTCCTCTGGCGCCCCTCCAGCCCTTACTCCTGGACGCACCTGGAGAGCCCTCGGACGGCGCCTTGGTCGGGCTTCTTTTTTCCTCCTAGCAGATGTGGCTAAGGGTCGCGGTCCGACCCCCCCCCCCCCCCCTTCTTTCCTCTGCTCCCTCGAGCAAGGGCCTTCGCTACAGAAAATTCCCTCAGCCTCGCAGTTTTAGTGCCCCGCTTGGGGCGCAGCGCAGAGCGCCCCGCCCCGCCCCGGGGACGCGCAGTTGGTACGCACGCCACTGCCGTGCCGCTGCGATTCTGCGAATCATCGGCCCCACTCACAAACATAAACGATTTTCCGCTTTCTTTTCCCAACTTCTTCTGCTTTTCCATCACTTTCATTTTGCTGCTCATCACTTTCATTTTGTTGCTCATCTCCTTTCTGCCGCCATGTTTTTGTTTTGCAGCGCGACGTCGGCTGCGTGAGGCGCGCGCGGCGGTCGGCCGCAACGAGGCAACTAGCGATGAGCTCATGTGGAAAATGAAGACAGACTCAACAAAAAAGAGAAGAAGCGTAGAGAGTAGCATGCTTTTTTATAAATATAAAATGTGAATCGAAAAAAAGCAAAACGTGACTTCGCCAGAGCGGCGGTCATGTGAATCGGCCGTTTGATTCTAAGCAGAGTGGTGCACACATGTGGGGCGGCCCAAAGGCTACGCCATGCGGGGGGCAGGCGGAGGGGGAGGGGTGGGAGGGGCGACGTGGTGGCGTCAGCAGTGGCGCTACACCTGTTCTGAAGCGTCTGGGGGAAGCCAAGCCGGGCCCGGGCCAGCACGGCACGCCGGGCAGGGCCAAGGGAGCGCGCGCGCGTGTGTCTCTTTCTCTCTCTACCTACAAATCGTCGATAAATTCAAAATCTTCTCTCTTTATTTCTCCCTCTCTCATTAGTGGAAAGCACGAAGCGGCGAGCGAGAAAGAGAGAGAGAGAGAGAGAGCAAGAATGCAAGAAGCGGAAAGAGGGATTTCAGAAATAACAGCAAACAGGAAAACAGGCAAAGCTACACATGGGGCGAGAATTCCCCGTTGCTTCCGGTTGGCAAAGCGAGTAAGGGACGCGTTGGAAAGAGAGAAGGGGAGTATATATATAAAGTGCGTCGAGTGCGCGACCCGCGTGGGGTCAGGGGGTCACCGAGGGCACAGCGCCACGCAGGCGCCGGGCAGGGGCGCGGGGGCACGTCACCGGGAAATGTCGTATGACCGGAGCTGCCGGATAGATTGGCTGAGGGTTGAATGGGTGGAATCTCTTTGAAGTGCGTGGGGCGGTGCGGGGCGGGGCGGGCACAGAGCGTTATCGTGCAGCCAGGGCCCGCACCATGCCGGCGCGCTGACAGGACCAGGACCGGTGCTTCACGGGGGGCGCCGACAAGAGCACCGCGCTGCTCGCGGAAATCACCGCGTTTTACATGTATAAAGTTTGAATGAATGAGGCTCTTCCGCTAGACAGCCGTGTGCGGCCGTGTGCTTGTACGTTGCGTTTTTATTTTCATTTTTTTAGTCCGCCCAATTAACAGCTTTTCTAACCACCACCCCCCCCCCCCCTTCTTTTCGCGTTTTTTTTTTTCGTCCTTTTGCACACGACGAATGCCAGCGCGGTGTGGTCCACGAATACCCAGCAAAAATATGGTAATTGCTGCACCATGGCGGCGCGAGGAGTCCCCTTCCCCGAGCACGGCAGAGCCTGGGCAGAGCCCCGGGCCCCGACCCAGTCCGACACGCCTCCCTCCTCAAACACTGCAAACACAATTCCTCTACGGCTAAGCTCATTTGGAATGCCAGACTGAGGGCTGCGGCCCTGTCGAGGCACGGCGTGGCCGGGCGGGGCGGGGCGTGGCGTGGCGTGGCGGGCGAGGCGCCCTCTCCGTGGATTTGTTCTAAGGCGCCGACGACCCCCACCCCCAATCCCCTAAAACCCTTAACGCGTTGCGACGCCCATCGCGCGACGCCACCTCCACTGACATTTGCATTTCCAGAGTGCGACCGAGGAACCGCACCGCAGCGTCCCACGCCCCGCCCCGCCCCGCTCCGCCCCGCTCCGCCACGCTCCGCCACGCTCCGCCAAAGCCAAGCCAAGCCCCGCGCGCCACTAAACAAGCAGCAGCGGGGCCCGGATGAGGCTGAGGGTGATTGATCTGCCGTTTCCGAGCCAAAACAAAGCCGCAGCGACTTGGACCGCGATCTCGAGGACGCCGACGACGCCACGACGCCGCACAGAGAGAGAGAGAGAGAAAGAGAGCAAAAGTGACATGAAATCGTCCACTGTGTGTTCATATTAGCGGCAAAGACAAAAAAAAGTCAAAGAAAGTTTTTTAAAAAATGCTCACATTAAAACCCCCAAAACCCCAAAAAGCTGGCGGTAAGCACACGCAGACCAAAAGTAGAGCTCGCTGCACAGCTCGCCGCCACCACGTTTGGCAGGGAGGGTGGACGCCGACCTGTGAGGGGCGGTGGGGAGTGGGGGAGGGGGGGTGAAAAAGTTGTTTTTGCAGTGTGCATGCGAGATAGCACCCCCAGCTCCGGGTGGGGGCACTGACCACGCAGAGCGCTGCAGCATGGGGACATGGGGAGGATACCCCCCCCCCTCCCCGCAGCCACCCCCGCATCCCTGCCTTATCCTCGCATCGCCTCACATTCTTGCGCG